TAAAGCAGTAAAATCTTTTCGTCCCCACTTAATTATGTTGGAAGCACATTACAGACTGTCCTGAGAATTAGGAATATGTACATATTCCTCTAGAAATGTATCTGTTATTAATTTCTAAACAGTTTTTGGGAACTAACATCATATTTTCTTTTAAAAAATATATATTTCCTCCCTGTTGCTCATGAAGTCCCTCACCACCTGAAAAATGACACTGTTGATTGTTAAGAAATTACATGTAGGAACAGAAATTGTATCAAGTCAACAGAAATTATACCTATTAATTGATAAGGAAGCATATATATGTATTATATATTTTCTTTGATCTTCTGTCATTTTCTTTTGCCATGATACCTTATCTCCTCTTTCCTATTTTCCCAGACATGCTATCTGTCCTCTGAACCTGTTCCAATGTAAATTCACTTCTGGAAAATGGACAGAGAGAATCATACACATTATTCCTGATAAGGTACTTAGGGCCTTGCACAATGGCACTAATGCCTCCCTGGCTTTAGTGGGAATGTCTTACCAGAAGCCCCAGGGACCTGCATTCATCTTTCTAAGGCCACATTGCCAGGGCAACTCCCAACCACACCTGGATCTCCCCTACAGTCATTCTCAATCCAGGCACTTAAGCACTGCTTTTTACTACTCAGTTTCATCTCATTTCTACAACTCATGCGCAAAGCCACTGTGCTATTTCTGTCTAATAGTCTGATCCTCCTCTTATGTGAGCACAATAAATAATGGATAAAGACAGCTCATACTGCAAAACTAAGCAGAATGCAGGTTACAGGTTGCATCATATTTGAAATAAACCACACATGGTTATAGACTTTGGCAAATATCCTGTATATTCAAGAACAATATTAAGAACTGAGTGAGTTATTATTTCATTTTTAAAAAAAACCAACAGTATAAATATTGATTTTTGTCTTTTCTTTTGAACATGTAGAGTTGGTGCATTTATTTCAGTCCATCTGCTTTTTACCATTCCTTAGGCAAACACTGGGTTACCTCAGTGTGAAGGAAGTCTCTGCATGACACAGGCCTGGGGAATATTCTCTTTTCAGCTTTGACCTTGCCCATGGAGACAGCCAGAGAAAAGAGAAGCACAGATTCAGTGTAGCAGTGGAATACCCTTAAACCTGCTTTGGAGATTGAAACTATGATTAAGTTATACTTGAACAGAGATTCTAGGTTACAGAACACCATAAAACTTAGAAGACCATTCATATTCCCACAGACTTACATAACAACTGACAGAACAAGAGGACACAGGCTTAAGCTGTGCCAAGGGAACTACAGGTTGGATATTAGGAAGAAGTTTTTTACAGAAAGGGTGATAAAGTGCTAGAATAGTCTGCCCAGGGAGGTGGTGGAGTCACCATCCCTGGATGTGTTTAAAAAAAGACCAGATGTGGCACTGGATGCCATGGTCTAGTTGAGGTGTTAGGGTTGGGTTGGACTCAATGATCTTGAAGGTCTCTTCCAACCTTATGATTCTGTGATTTATAACAATAAGCAGCCTAGAAATGCAAGGTAATTTATTTCCTATTACATGTTTTCAATCTAGATGACATTCAGAAGCAGGAGAACATAATAACCAAAGGCTACCTCTTCTGTCACTAAATGTTTCTCATGTTTTCTTGTTCTGATCACTCTAACTAGTAGAAATAAAACCACCTATCAAAAATAACTGTCATAATGTGTCTTCATGGGAATAACCTTATATTGCCTATACATTAAGTATACCTCAGCCTACTGCAATGTGTAGGCAGAGTAAAATAGCATAAAAATCTTATGGAACCTTATTCCACTTGAATTGAACAAATTACTTTCTACCACAGTTAAAAATGGCTTAGCTTTTAGGAAGTTTAGTGAAAAATTAAACCCCCCCACCTTAAGCAAACACTGCAGGCTATGCTTATGGAAAATTATCCTCATGTTAATCAGCTGTACATGCTGACAAACTTGTTCTTTTCTGGTTGCCTAGCTGTCTACCAACCTCCTCTGGCTCCCCGCCACGACCTCTGTGAAAGAGCTGCTATAGCAGTAGCAAGTGTGTTCTCAGAAACCCTTATTAGCTGTGCTGTAGGTTTCTAGTTATTGAACAGCAACTCGTTGTACTTTTATTATTGTGACAGTACATTAAATAAAAATGCTGGGTTTCATTTTTTAAATAGACACGAGAAAATTCAAGGTCAAGAAAGCTAACCTGACAAAACAGGTCAGCATTACATGTTATGCTGTTGCAGCAAACACTACAAAACAAAATCTACATTTCAAAATGGTAGGTCTAAAGCTATCATACATACATACATACATACATACATACATACATACATATATATATATATATATATATAATTTTAACCCTTCTAATGATAGGCTTGAAGAACTATAAAATCTACACATAAAGAAGTTACACATCTTCCAAAATTTGTCACAAAGTATAGAAACTGAACTAAATTTCATTACTTCAGTCTGTAGTGTACAGAATCAGTATTTATTAAAGGCTGGTTCATTTTAGGAGGGGGACTGATGTGAATGTTCTCCAAGTTTGTTTCTCCCCAGATCAGCCACTGGGTTCTCATATGTGCTTAAAAGGCAGTTGGGCACCAAAAATATACAGGGCTTCAAGCAATGCTATGCTACACATATACCAGCATTTTAGTTATAAAGTCAGGTAGGTATGTTCTTAATGGACAACTCCTCCTTCAGGTAGAGTTGGTGAGCATGAGCAAAGTAGATATCCACATAAAGCACTGACATAATTTGTATATGCCATCCTAACATACCATGGGAAGAGTCCTTAATTGAAAATCATAATAGAGTAGCCAGGAATGTACCAATTAAAATAACTTGTCTGTCTGTGCTAAATTCCAGATATTCCTAAGGTCTTAAGGAAATTTAACTATTTTTATTTACTAGAATACAATCAAAAACAAAGAAGTACTTTTAGACTTAGTTATCTCAGAGGTGAGGCAACTGCACAGACTAAAGATTTTCTTATTGATGGGTAATATGCACTAAGCAACATAATTGTTTTGAAAAAAAATTTAAATTAACACTTTTCATCCATCTTCTCAAGTCAATTTGAAGCATGTTCAATTTTGTTTTGTTTATATATGTTAAAACTCCTACAGCATATATTTGTTAACTTTTAGATTTATAAACTATATTCTCTTTTGCTTATAGAAACAGTATCATTCACTGTACCAGTTGCTCTAGTTGGCCTGCAGCTTTTATATAAGTGACCTCCCCAAACACAAAAATCAGGCTGAGCAAGATATGCATGATTTCAATCTTGCTTTATGAGGTGGAGCCATACACCTGCAAGAACACTGGTGCATAAAGACTGCTCAGTCTTTTCCTCCTCCCTCCTAAATATTTGCATCAGCTGGCAAAACCCATACAGAAGGAAAACAGTTAAAGAAGTGATGCAACAGAGAAGCCCCAGGTCTGGACCCCAATCTACCCTTTGACAGGGTCTCAGTCTTTGGCCTCCTGGAGAGCAGCAGCAGAGCTGGACTGCCAGGACATGGCCAGCCCTGACACCACAGGGCTGCAATAAAGGTCTGCTGGTGTGAGACCAGCACAGCCTCAATGAAGAATAAAGGTGTAGCTCATGCCAATCTGCTAGGGTTAATTTGTGCCAGATAGAGAATTAAAGAAAAAAAAATTAAAAAAAAAAAAAGAAATAAACACTATGTAAAAGTTATTAATTCATCCATCAAAAGGATCCAAAAGGCAATTGTTGCTAATTTGCATTACATATTTGCCAGTTGCTCATTGACCTGTTGGGAGGAAACTATGGACCTCAAGGCAGATTTTAGAGGGCAAGTATGTACTTTGTTCTTAGCACTTACTGTAAAAAGGGTGTATTTTGAATGCACTTGACTGTGCTTCCCTCCTCTCAGTAAAGATGAGACTTCCTGGTCAGAACCATGCTGATCAGGGTGGGAGGTCAGTCACGCTGCAAATAAGAACTGACGTTTCAAAGCCAGAGCAAGATTTTTGTTGTTAAGGAAATGTGCTCTAACAACAGATTTGCAGATCACAGTAAGGAAAGAACATGTTTCTCTTTTGCTTCTTTTAACTGGTGAAGTTCTTGAGCTCCATGGTGGCTGACTAATGGCTGAAGGGGGATTTTATTCATTGAATTCAAAAATTGTCAGGAAGCTTACAGGAAGGAATAAATATTCCCTTTAATACCTGCAAATAAAACAAGAGTAACTTATTTACTCCACTCATGGTTATTGCTGAGTGTAAAATTCAAGAAGTCATACCTTTACTGAGTTATAAACCAAGAAAAGAGAATAAAGAGTGTTTTAAAAAACTGTGCCATACAGTTTTGAAGATGAGCTCTAATGCAAGGTTAGATGCTACCTGAGCTGGGGAAAAAAAATGTTTTCCTCTAATTTGCAGAGCAGCTATAGAAGTGTTGCATAGTTGCTGCAGGCAATGATCAATAAGTAAGAGGAGAGGGAGACATCTCAAATTCCAGTATGTTTTTGGTCCATCTTCCTCACAGTTTTGAAAAAGAGAGCAATATAATCTGATGTTTCAGGCCACAAAGGAATTGCTGAGGAGCTCCTGAAAAGAGCTAGATATCCTCATAATTCGAAAGTACAATTCTATGTCCAAAGCAAAACCAATCTTATCTTTATTGAGTAAACTGGAAGGGCACAAATTACTTTTATTTAAGTAAGTAGTCTGATGTCAAAAATGAGGGCAAGAAAAAAAACAAACAAATGACATACACAATGGGCACTACAGGAAAAGTTCTAGCTGGCACCTAAGGCAGAATTCGTGCAAGAAATGAAAGAACTTATTGTACCACAGCACTGGTTCTCAGGCTGCAGCCTGCTCACTCTTGCGGCAAGGACACTCTGCTGCACAGCCTGCCCACCAAGGGGGAAGCTGCTTCCTACTGACACACTTCCACATCCACATGGAATCAGCAGAGGCTTTACTGATCAATTAATAAAACTTAACCATCATCTTTGGCAACTTTTATTGCTAAATCGTCATTCTGTTATTGACATCTACAGCATACAAATTCAATATAGAGAAAATAAAACACCATAGGAGTTCCAGACTATTCCTCATCTGAAACAGATAATGCAAAATTTCTGAGAAAGGAAATACAGTGACTGAATCTGAAATGAACCCTAACTTAATAGATGATTCAGTTACCTGTGGGGGGTACTTCCCAAGGCTGCAATTCCTCAACTTTAAAGGCTCAGAACACAAAGAGCAGAAATGAATGAGGCCATTATCAGTAAAATAACTAATATGTTATTTGACATTTATTTAACAACAGTGCAAACCCAATCCTCTTCAATGGGGTCTACGTTAAGAAAAATATTATTTACCCGAAGAAGAGAACTTGTGTCTTCACAGCTGCAAACGCACTTCCAATCACAAAGACAGTTCCTCATTTTCAGTTACCAGAAGCTGTTTTGCAGTGAGGAGACTGGTGTTTTCTACAGGCCCAACCAAAAAGGGTATTGAGGGAAAGGCAGCTTGCTTCACTTTTGTCCATTCCCAGGCTACCCTATTGACATACCCCTCCTGCATGGTCACAGTAATCCTATGTTCTCACTCCTGATCTCCCCCAGCCCTGCTCTTGTGGTTGCTGCAGCAAGGTTTGCACTTTTCCCAGACCATCCTACTTGTCACTGCAAATAACATGAGATGGAAGAGATGGCAGGAATTTTATTTTTTTCCCCATGGAAAGGCATATTCTCTGTTACCCTTGCTTGTTCTTTGGTGTAATTAACTGTCTCTTTATTTTATGGAAAACCAGAAAACCAAACCATGACCTAAAACCATTACTGTGACAAGATCAAGACTTGGGAAATGCAGTGATTCTACTAAAAAATAAATACTTGGAAAACAATTTTTTTTTTCACTTATATAGTTCAGTCAATAATAAAATCTTCAATGTATGATTCATAGTACTAGAAAAATTAACTTTAGGTAGCAAGTTTTCCTCACATTCTTACTCCATCTTAAATTGTAGAATGTTACTTCTGAAATTGTGTGAATATTTAAACTGTGAAACTCAAAGTATGAACTATTACAGTAGAGGTTCACATTTAAAGACAAAATTCAATTTTCTGTCAAAGGTAACTCTGACAAGGATAATAAAATCTATTTATTAAATAACATATTTATAATACAGATCTTTGAAATCAAGACACTTATATTGACACACATTATGCAATTTCAAATGGATTTCAGTACCTTGGTGCTATGAACTGGTATCCTGAAATGAAAAAATATGAAAGAAGAGAAGCTTCCCAAGAAGCTCATAGACATCAGCAATAGGTAACACAATTTGGACCCTAAGTAGCACAGTGAAAAATCCAGAGGATAGCCTCCAATAAACAGCAATTGCCCTAAGTCAGCACGAGCACTCCTACATCTTCAAAACACAGACAGGTAACCCTATTCGGTGGCTTTCTTTGAGAGAACTTTGCTTCAAATTGGATATTTTATGCAGAAATAGCAGTTTTTTGCTGTAATTACTGCAAACATATATATTAAAGGTAAAAATCTATTTTTCAGTGAATCCTATGGATGTATCGACAGATATTGGTATTTCCCCTTCCCTTCAGGACTCGCTGCTTAGCTATGATATGAAAACAGAAACAGCTTTTGAATAATTAATGAAACACAGGGACTGAAAATAGACCTATTTTCTTCCCTTTCCTGCCTCCCCTTATTAAAAAAACAAACAAAATCCTAACAATAAAGCCTGAAGGTTAAAAGGCCCTTAAGAATAACTACCAGCCAGCTGGTCTCAAAAGAACAGTATGAAGCAAAATGCATCAGTTGTAACACCCAGGCAGTATGGCAAGATCTACACAGGAACATCCAAAGTTTTTAGAGAGAAAAAAATAATCAAGGAATACAAGTGATTAGAAGATAAGGACAATACCAGCATATACCCATTGACAGTGTACTATATTTGTTATTTACACCACAAGCAAGGAAGGCATGTAAATTTCCCAAAAATGGCTTCAGCTAGACAATAATTATTTAGTTTATGAAATAAAACAAACAAACAAAAAAACCTCAGAAAAATAAAACCCACAAAAAAACCCACAAAATACTGTCTTGTAAAATGCTTTCAAGTGTTTTACCTTTTTACATACATTTGCAATGAAAGAAACACTGCCAATATTTTATAGCTTAAGCATTTCCCACTAAAATACATACAGACTTACACAGAAAGTGTGTACTTTACAGAAAGTATGTAAAACTGAAGAATCTAGGATTGCTGATAAATGCTTTAGAAGCACTTGGTTCCTACTGGTCTTCCTTTACAGTAAGACTAGAGTCACTTTTGAGAGGCCTGCAGATTGAGGAGTCCTGTATATGCACACATTTCAAACTATTTTATGGTGTAAAATCAGGATTTTCTTCCATATTCTCCCTTCCTTACACTTTTAGACACAGTTACAAGCTCTTAAGTACAGACAAAAGGGCCTGTAAGTAGAGCAGAAGGGGCCGCCATCTTCTCCCTGCCTGATCTTTAGGAAGATACGAAGTCACCACAGCATCATATAAAAACTTGTGTTCCCAGCTTTTTCTCCTCTCTTCCCTGGTTTGTTTCCTCTTGTACTTCTTCAGTTCTTCTGTACAATGTATAGCAATTACAGTGGGGGACCTTCCCCCTTTCACCTAGCACCTCCCACACAATTAATTGATCAGAGAATGAGACACACTCTTCACCTAAAACCACAGAAAACTAGCAAGGTGCTGCTCACTTTGATATCTGTTTTCCACCTTTGCACATGAGAAACGAGAACATTACTTTTGTTCAGCTGAAAGCTGAGTATAAGCAGCACTGCTTTGGGTCTTTGGGTTTTGAAATGTCTTCAACCTTCACCGCAGCTGGTTACCGCTGCCACATGGAGAGAAGCAGGGGGAAGAGAAACCTGGCTGACAAAGGCTGCTGATTGTAGACATGATTTCTCCTCACGGCTGGCCCCTGGAGAGCGCGAAGTGCCTACTGTTCGCCCCAGCCTGCGGCGGGCAGCTTGGCCGGCGGGGTGACAGCCGCGCCCGCCTCCCCAATGGCTGCGCACAGCCACACCCGGCCGGGCAACCTGCGCGGGCAGCAGCGTCCTTTCTGCCAAAAAACCAGAAAAGACTTTGGGTTACAAATTACACCAGGCTCCACTAACAGCTGAAGGGCTTCCAGCACACGCCGGTTCCCGCATCCCCGCGGGCAGGAGATATTGTGGGGCCCCTTCAGCTCGGGGCGATTCTCCCATGGACCCGAGCTCCCCACGAGCCCAGCCCGGAGCCCCGAGCGGCACTGCCCTCCACGGCGCCCCGGCGGTTCCCACGGCCCCGGGACAGCGACCGCGCCTCCTTTCCGTCACCTTCTCGTCGTTCTTTCTCCCGGCTCCCATCACGCCTCTCCTCCCGCCCCCGCCGGCACCGCCCGCCCGGCAGGTACCGAGGGGGCGGGCGCGGAAGGCGACGCCTTCCCCCCCCCCTCCCCCCGCACAGCGCATGGTCGCGGCGGCCGCGCGCCGGGCTCCCCCTTGGCTGCCGCGCGCCGTGGTCTCGCCCGCCCCCGCTGCCATGTTGGATCGCGCGGCCGCCGGGGCCGGGCCGGAGTTGGAAGTTTAGGGGCGGGAGCGATCGGGAGCGGCCCCGGCGCGGAGCGGCTCCGGCGCGGCGCTACCGCCGCCCGGCACCCCTTTCCCGACCGCCCCCCCTCCCCGCACCCTCCCCGCCGCCCCTCTTCTCCTCCCTCCTTCCCCGGCCCCGCGAGGGAGGCTCCGCGATGCGGCTGCTGTGAGGCCCCGGCGGCGGCGGCGGAGGAGGAAGGGGAGGAAGGGGCCGCGGGCGCCATCGGTCGCAGGGCGGCGAGGGCAGCGCCGGGCCGGCCCCGGCCATGAGCGGCGCCCCGCAGCAGCAGCCCCAGCGGCGGGTCACTAACGTGGGCTCGCTGCTGCTCACCCCGCAGGAGAACGAGAGCCTCTTCGGCTTCCTCGGCAAGAAATGCGTGGTAAGTCCGGCCGGGGGGAGAGGGGACTGGGGCACCCTCGGCCGCCCCACCGGGGCGCGGCGGGCCGGGGCCCGGGGCGGGCGGGGGCGTGTGAGGACAGCCCGGCCGGGCGCTGGGAAGTTGCGGCTGCGGAAGTTTGATCCTGCTCCCCTGCTCCGTCCCGGCGTCGGGAGGGGGGCGGCCCTCGCAGGCCTGGCTGCCCGCTCGGCTGGCCCGCAGCGCCGGGCGGGGAGCGATGAACGGCGGCGGCCCCTCGGCCGGCCCGCTCCGGCGGGGCTGCCGGCCCTGAGCGCCGGGCCCGGCCTCCCTTCCAAGGCAGGCGGCTCCGAGACCGCCTCGGGCAGCGGTGTGAACGCGTCCTTCCGCGCCTCGCTGTCCACCGGCGAATGGAGCTGCCGGGGCCGGCGGGACTCCCGCTGCCCTGCAGCCGACCCAGCGCTGCAGGGGAAGCCCGCCGCAAAGGAACGGCCGCCGGGTCGGGGGCGTAAAAGTTCCATTGCTCGACGAGGCTGGGACGGACCTCAGGTGCTCCACCGGTGCAACAAAGCAGTGTTGGACGAAGTTGTAGGAAGACTCGTATCGGTGCTAGGCCTACTTTGGATTTAGTCTGTACTTTTCTTAGCCTAAACAAGAAGTCCGTGTACTCAAATCCCGCATATTTTCCCATTTCTCTATCAGTAAGTTTTGCTTTAGAATACCTTCTTGCATGTAGTGTAAAACTGTACTAAAACTACTTTTCTGTATTAAAGAGCTATTTGAAAACTTCAAAAGATAACTACTTTCACTGGAAAAGAAGCTCCTTTTTTAAAAAAATCGTATTTTTCAAAGCAATTACTATTCTGGTGCATTGTGTCCAGTATTTAAAATACTGTTGGGCACTTGCTGTAAAGCTATGGTGGGTGTTTAATGAACTTAAAACTGACTTAAAGCAGGATATCCGTGCAGTCGTACTGATTCCACGTAACTCTGGACTTTGAAATAGTATTGTTGATCATACTGCTGCGAGGAAAACATAAGATGCAGCAACGGAACAGGAAGTAGAGAATATTTACATTGGGGTGGGTTAGATAAGATGCTGTCACAGTAATTTGAGTTATGTGTCAGAAGGTATGACCGTAAAGTATATGTTTTGAAAAGTACAGAATTGTGGAAATGTCTCAGTTAATTTCAGGAAACATTCCATATCTTCAGCTTGTTTGCTAAGAAAGAAAAAAAAACAGTATCAACTTCTCTCTAAATATAAAAAAAATAGTGCATTAATTTGTGTGTAAATTGATTTTCAGTTTGCTTTGCTATAACTTGATTTTTTTCTTGTCAGGTGAACACTGACAAGTGTTATACTCAGCTGTAAAACTCACCTAGTTAAGCTCCCAACTTTTCTGCATAAATAGTATGTTGAAAGCAGGCTAGAGGTAAATATCTTCACAGGATCTGGGTGTCATGGGATTTACAGCTTGCTTGAAGTTACACATTCTTCTGATCTACACTGAATATTGGATGACTTTCCAGTTGAGGTTCTTAAAATTGTGGTCTGTTGTTTCCTCTTGTCCCCAGCCCATTGTGCTCTCTGAGTTAATAATAGGCTTATTTTAGTACAGTTGAGGTTCTCCGCTCAATCTTGAGGACTTGAGCATTTAAGATCTAAAGGTATTTAACCAGGCTTTTTTGGCTTACTGTGTGGCATGAGCCAGAAATTCAGAAACAAGTGAACAGATTGAATATGCTGCCCCTTGGAGGGCATTGTCTTAAGCAAAGCAGGAATGAGAACCTGGAGATGGTAACAGCCTCGGCTGTCTAACTTGAAACCACAGGATCTCTTGGAGCCCAAGAGGACTCATGGTATTCTTGACCTTCCAGCTTGACTCAACATGCTGTGCTGATAAATGCCTTTTTGCTGTAATGTTCATGATATTTGATCTCATAACACCCATGTTTGAATTACTAATTAGTAAAGTGTCAGACTGTAAGTGCTGTTTGTTAAGAAAGGAAAATTTAAGTTCTGTAGAATGCTAAATGCTTGCTCTTGCAATCACCCTAAATATCTGGGCTGCCTTGATGCTGCAGACGGAGTTTCTGTCACTGTGGGGCATAGAGAATCTACTGGATGTAATGTGTATCAGCCACGTTGACATAATTTTAGATTTTGTTTGATTAAACCTCTCGTTTAGATTACTACTGCAATGAACACTAACGAAAGTTGAGGCATGAAATTCTGCTTTTAAGATACTCTTTGTAGTAATAATTTATAGAGCTCTTAATGAGCACCATAGTGCTGCTATCAGGCCTGAAGGGCTTAGTTAAGAAAGCATGTGGTGCTCTGAATCTGATTTATTTCAGTCTTTCCTTTGTTTCTGACTGATAACAAGGCAGCTATTTTGAAATAACATTGAGGATTCAACTATATGATTTTTGTTCTATGGAAGAGCAAAGGAATTTATCAAGTAGTATAACTTCAATTGAGTACTCACAGTCTGCGAACTTGGAAATGGACATAGTTCCAATGGCATCTTAAGTAATGATACCTGATAGAAAAATTTCCTGTGAGTGGGGGAAATGGTGAAGAGCTGTCGCTCTGTGTTGCTGAGGTTGATACCATTCTGCAGACTACTGCTGGTACTTTGAGAAACTCACTAGTAGGCAAGTGTACATACAGAGGGTAATTGATTTTTTTTCTCTACTCTTTTGTTTTTCCCTCCACTTGCTGAGCTGTAAAATGTTTATCTGAATCTATAAGCAATTAAAATACCTTTGCCCATGACAGATCAGGATTTCAAAACCAAGCCACTGGCTAATAGTCAAAACTATAGCTATAGTTAATTTGGCTGAAGTATGAATCCAGATATAGAACTATTTACAGAATGTATCTACCATAAAGCCCTTTAGGACTCCCATTTTTTAGGCATGTAACTAATTTTCGTTCAGGTGTGTGACCTTTGTTATCTAGGTAAAGTGTAAAATTTGCCACCTGTAAAAAGTTTTCAATAACTTTTTAATAATAATGTGGAAATAAAATTTTATGTATACTTATACTAAGTGGAGCTATGAGATTAGTTCTGTGCATATTAATGATTTTTGTGGTCATGCCCAACTTAAAAGTTTTGCAGAAGTTCTGGTTAGTTACTAATCATTACTTTAAATAATTATGTGTTTTGTAAGAAAAAGTAAATGCTAGGTGTCCATTTTATAATCTGTAGTAAAGAAGTAACTTTTATAATTTGCATGATTAATATTGGTCAGAGATGTCAATAATGAAAAACCAGTTTATTCTGTAGAAATAATTTTTGAGAGGCCTTAGGAAACAAAGTGTGAGAAGCATGTACTTGGTAGCATTAGAAGCAGGTCAAATGGAGTATGGATATATTATGCTGCTTAGAAGTGCGACTCAACACTTGGATAAGGTGTAATGAATAAGGCTAGAAATATGTTGTTTTTTGTAAGATCTTGCCGTAGTTCATATGGTAAACAGGAACTGGTAAAGGATGCAGAAAGAGAAGAGACACAGCAGTAAGCTAAAAAGACAGTTTTGGCTGCTTTTAAAAGTGCATGTGACTAGAATAAATTTGTATATCAGAGCCAAAGAACAAATTGCAGTAATAGTTGAGATAAAACAAAATAAAAGCTTGAATGGCAGTTATAGCTCTTAATTGATAAGAATTAAATGTTTTATCAGGAAAGGACTTGTAAGATTACTTGTGCTTATGAAAACAGCAAGAGCTAGGACTTGAAGGTAGACTACAGGTCTAAGTAATGGGCAACTTCATGTGTCTGTGAAGTGTTGGGACTCCTCAGTTTGAGTTTAGGCTGCAGTCTGTACATCCAAAAACCATTGATATTGCAGTTTTAAAAAGACTTATCCTCTGTACAAGTAGGGAGAACTTAGTCATTAATTCAGTGGTGATTATATCATCTTTCCATTTGTTTTTAAATGAGATGTGGAGGGAGAAGATAAAGTGTAAAGAATGAGGTCTTATGGAACAGGAGAGTATTGAGCATTACTCCTGGGTTTCTTTTGAGATTTGCCCTGTTCTACAAAAGGCATGTAGACAGCATCTTTAGACACCTCACTAGTATCCACTGGAGTGAGTTCCCTGAACAGCTTATCAGTGTTAATCTTCCATTCTAGAGAGAATGACAGTAGAGTTTTAACAGTTCCTTTGAAGCAAACCTGTGCCTACAAAACTGATTTTCACAGTAATGGATGATATCAGACTCTGTAGAGCAAGTGGTACAACCATTGTCCTTATCATAGTGTGTTTCTCATGCTCATTTTCCTCACAGCTTGCTAGTTATGTCTTTACAGCACAGTTCATGGCCTTAGCTTATTTACCCATGGATGAGAAATGTTTTGAGACTGCTTGGGAGCAGTCTGGAAGGCACAGCATCTTGTAGCTGTATGTATTTGGGACAAAGCATCAATTCAGAAAGTGTGGGGTATGGTAAAGGAGAAAAAG